AAAAAAATATAATGTTTTTAACTGTTTGCAGCCATGCCGTGAACCTGCTGAACAACCTGCCCGTGTCCTATCTGGATGTTTTAATTGACGTCCCCGTGCAGGGAGGGCAGGAGAAATATGCCGGAAAAAACATGGACGCGATCGAGGTGTTGCTGGACTTCATGGAGAAAAGAATCGACAAGGTAAAATTCAACTTCTGTCACAATGACGCGAGAATAACGGTTTAGCATCCATAAATGTGTTCTAACTCCACCCGGATGTTTTTGTTTTTATTTATGATTAGAAGGAGAAGAAAGCCTGAATAAAGGTCATGTCCCTCAGGTTCTCCTCTGTTATTCAGTGTCTCCGTCATCTTATTTCTATTAGCTGCGTGCTTGTGTGCTAAAGATATCTATCCAGCCCCTGAGTTTGTGGAGACAGTGAAGTTTTTGTGGTCTGTCACTCCAAGCAGGGGTCCAATTACAAAGAGGGTTTGACTCCAGTACTCAGCCTTTTGACTGAAGGATCCAGACACCACAGGGAGATCCGCAGATATATCAAAGCTCAGGTAATCACGGTTTGTGGGCTCAGCTTTACAGGTGTGTTAAAATAGAAATATTGATGCACTATTAAATTAAATTAAATCTTTTTTTAAGGTACTTCCCCCACTGAAAGATGTGAAGAGCAGGCCAGAGATTGGCACCACCATCAGAAACAAGCTGGTTCGCCTCATGACACATGTGGACATGGGCGTGAAGCAGACAGCTGCAGAGTTTCTGTTCGTCCTCTGCAAAGAAAGCGGTGAGTGATTTTAAAAGGGAGAAGAAGGGGATGAAAAATATGTGGCCTTTTCGGTTGAATGCAGTTTATGAGAATAATTACCTTAACACATCAGGATTTATGTGTATCAGTGCCACCTTTTAGTAAATGTGTTGTCTTGCAGTGGACAACCTGTTGAAGTACACGGGGTACGGAAACGCAGCAGGACTTCTTGCGGCTCGAGGACTTCTTGGAGGAGGGAGAGGAGAGACTCAGTACTCTGACGATGAGGACTCAGACACAGAAGAATACAAATCTGCCAAACCTTTGTGAGTCCTCCACACTGGGATTACAATAAGGTGTCACATATTTAACTGTTGTGTGTACTTTGATCATTTGTGCTGCACCGATTCAAAAACTGCTGGTCTAGTAGCTGATGCTGATCCTCTCTCT